AACAGCAGACTTTCCCATGGCAATGCGCCTTTTAATTTCCTGGCTGCTGGTGCCAAGACTGTTGACTATGGAGCCAAGCAGACTAAAGCTCATTCTCTTAGTAGTCCATGTATATTCTATTCTCTTCTCTAGCACTACAATGCAAATGCATCAATTCTCTTTCAATCAATCCTTAGTCACTGTCCAGCTTTCTGATACATATCAAGTAACTGCAAAGACCATGGCCCAGATCAGGAGCATCTTAGTCTCCAAACTGACATCATTGTTCTTCAGTACTCTGAAGAGGTCCTGAACAGCAGACTTTCCCAATGCTATTTATCTTTTGATTTCATTGCTACTGGTACCAAGAGTGTTGATTGTGGAGCCAAGAACATTGAAAGTGTTAACAGTCTCAGTGTCTTCAACAACTATCATGATGCTGCCAATCAGCCCAATGGTGAAAAATCTTTGCTTTCTTTATGTTGCGTTTCAATCCATATTGCAAACTACAGTCTTTGGCCTCTGGAGTAAATGCCTCAGGTCCTCCTCAGTTTTGGCAAGCAAAGTTGTGTTATCTGCATAACGCAGATTGTTGATGAGTCTTTCTCCAATCCATTCCTTCTCATAGAGTCCAGCCTCCCAGATGAACTGTTCTGCATATAGCTTGAAAATGTATGGAGATACGACGCACCCCTTGCGTACACCCTTCCTGATTTTGAAGCATGTAATGTTTCCTTGCTCTGTTCTGACAACTGCTTCTTGGTCCAAGCACAGGTTTAGCATAGCATAAGCACAATCAGACGTTCTGGGATTCCCATTCTTCTCAGATTCAGTCACAGCTTGTTGTAATTCACACAGTCAAATGCCTAAGCATAGTCATTTTTTAAAAAAAATTTTTATTATTATTATTTTTTTTTAGCATAGTCATTTAAACACAGACATTCCTTTGGTGCTCTCTGCTTTCAGCCGAGAACATTAGCTATAATATCCTTAGTACCACGGCCTTTCTAAACACAACTTGCACTTCTGGCAGTTCTCTGTTGATGTGCTGTTTCAGTCATTTTTTTAATAATTTAAGCAGAATATTGCTTGCATGTGATATTAATGATATCGTTTAATAACAACCTCACTCTGTCGGGTCACCTTTCTTTGGAATGAGAACAAATAAGTATCTCTTCTAGTTAGTTGGCCAGGTGGTTGTACACCAGATTTCTTGGCACAACTTGGTGAGCACATCCAGGGCAGAGTCTGTTGAATTATGTCAATTGGTGTGTCATCAATTAATGGGGCCTTGTTTTTTTGCCGTTTCTTTCAGAGCAACTTGAACTTCTTCCTTCATCACCATAGGCTCTTGCTCATACATTGTTTCATGAAATTCTTCTGTGTCCACCAATTCCTTTTGATACGGTGACTCTGTGTACTCTTTCCATCTTCTCTTAATGCTTCTGAGATCATTTTAATATTCTTCCCAAAGCATCCTTAAATATTGCAGCTCAAGCCTTGAATTTATTCCTTCAGCTTAAGAAATTCTGAGATAGTCCAGCCCTTTTGATTTTCAGACTCTAGTTTTTTCACATTTCATTATAATACTTTACTTTTTTTCCTATGCTGTCCTTCAAATTCTTCTGCTCAGCTCCTTAACTTCTTGATTTCTTCCTTTTGCTTTGGCTTCCTCGCACTCTAGTGCAATATTCAGAGTCTTATCTGGTATCCATATCAATCTTTTCTTCCTCCTTTGTGTTTGTAATGACTTTTTTGCATTCTTCCTGGATGATATTCTTGGTATCTTCCCAGAGCTCATCTGGTCTTCACTCATTAGTGTTTAAGCTCTCAAACCTGTTCCTGAAATGGTTTTGAAATTCAGGTGGGATAGACTCAAGGTCAAATTTTGGTTCCTGTGGATTTAATTTAACTTTCTTTAGCTTTAATTTGAATTTCATATGAGTAGTTGGTTGCCGGGACTTGCCAAATGAACTGGGGGTCTGGGGAAAGGAGTTTGCCAGCATTTGGGTGTGCCGGGTTGGTAAGATACTGAAAGGTCACGCCCCACCTAGGGTCTTGGGAAATTTAATGTCAGCTGAATCCAGACTCTACCCTTCTGGAGGCATGGCAGGTTTGAGGGCTCAGGGCACTTGTGTTGTGGCGTTCCTTTGGCCCCATGTGAGGGTCAGCAGAGCGGACTTGCCAAATGAACTGGGGTTCTGGGGAAAGGAATTTGCCAGCATTTGGGCATGCTGGGTTGGTAAGACACTGAAAGGTTGCACCCCACCTAGGGTCTTGGGAGATTTAATGTTAGCTGAATCTGGACTCTGCCTTCTGGAGGCAAAGCAGGTTTGAGGGCCCAGGGCACTTGTGGTGTGTCAAATGCATTAATGGTTGGTTACCCAGTGTGGACAGAGATTGGAGTGGAGCTCCCTGATTAAATAAAACAAGCTTGGACGGAGGAATGGCATCCACTTCTGTAATAGCTTGCCTCCAGAAACCCTATGAACCTTGAGAGAGGATGAAAGGCACCCAAGTGTTGAGGATTCTCCTTCATAGGGTAGCTATGAGTCACCTGCGACTTGACGGCACTTAACAACAATAACAGTTGATTGTCTATTACACAATCAGTACCTGGTCTAGTTTTCACAGCTGACACTGAGATTCTCCTGGGATTCTTTCCACAGACGTATTAGATCTGATACCTATCCATACCATCAGGTGAAATCCATGTGTATATTCTGCATTTATATTTGTTATAAGAAGTATTTGTAATGCTTAAATTATTGACTGTACAAAATTATTTCTATCTCCAGCTTCACTTCTTTTTTAAATTTTATACTAGTTTATTTACAAAACTCGAATACATTGTTTTTGAAATTAGATTCTTTCAATTTCCCTCCGCTCCCCACAAATTATACAACCCAGGATTAATCCCCCTCATCCTGCACATCTTCATCCCTCTGCTTCCACCCTCTCCCACTCCTCTTGGATCCTTATACTCATTCTACAATAATGGTTTTATACAATATTTATCTTTGCGTGACTGAGTTTACTCAGCTTTATACTCTATAGTTCTTCCCAAGTTAGGTAATAATTAATAAAATCATTGTTCCTGAGTGATTTCTAGTATTCCATTATGTGAATGTACCATAATTTCTCAATCCATTTGTTTGTGATTGAACATCTGGGCTGTGTCCATGTTCTCGCAATGGTGAATATTGTTGCTATGAACAAGGATGTACTAGTCTCTATTAGTGCCTCAATTCTCATATTCTCAGGGTATATTCCAAGTAGTGGAATAGGTGGGCATATGAAATTTCTAGGTTCATCATTTTTGAGAAAATGCCAAACTGCTTTCCAGAATGGTTGTACCATTTACAATCCCACTAACAGTGTTTGAGAGTTCCTTTCTCATCACATCTTCTCCAACATTTATTACTTGCTGCCTTGCTAAACTTTGCTACTGTTCCTGGACTGAGGTGGTACCTTATTTTGGTTTTGATTTGCATCTCTCTTATTGCCAGTGATTTGGAGCATTCCTTTATGTGTCTGTTTGCCATTCAAATATCTTTCTCTGTGAAAATTCTTTTCATTTCTTTTGCCCATTTTGTAATTGGGTTATCAGCCTTTTTCTTGTGGAGGCCCAGGAGTGTTCTGTCAACTTTTGTTATAAGAATCTTGTCTGAGATGGTATTACCAAATGTTTGTTCCAAGTCTGTCACTTTTCTTTTCACTCTGTTGGAAACAGTTTTTGATGCACACATGGAGGTTCCTGTGCATCAATTTTATCCTCTTTAGATTGTGCATTTCTGGTTGTAGTTGGCAGTCTCTTTATACCTTGGACTAGCGCTCCTAAGCTTGATCCCAGTTTGTCTCTTATAAACGTTATGGTTTTGGGCTTTACTCCTAGGTCTCTGATCCTTGAGTTGATTTTTGTGTATAGTGTGAGATGTGGATCCTGTTTCAGCTTTCTGTAGGTGGAAGTCCAATTTTGCCAACACCATTTGTTGAAGAGATTACCATGCCCCATTTGATAGCTTTGATTTCCTTGTCGAGTATCAGTTGACCATAGATAGCTGGGTCTATTTCTGGGTTCTTAATTCTGTTCCATTGATGTACGTGCCTGTCATTGTACCAGTACCATGCTGTTTTGGTTATTACTGCTGTGTAGTAGGTTTTGATGTTAGGGAGTGCTATGCCTCCAATCTCATTTTTGTTTCTTAGAAATGTTTTGCTTATTCGGAGTCTCTTGCCTCTCCAAATAAATTTGACAATTTCCCCTTCAAATTCCTTGAAAAAGGAATTTAGGAGCCTCATTTCGGTCACCAACTACTGAACCATATTATGGCTTACTCTGTTTATACAAGGACACATTCTGATTGATTGCTGTACATCTGATTTGTGAGTTCCTGGTCAAGTGATTCTAACAATGTGTATCCTAGAAACATTCTCCTTTTCTCATCCTACATCAGAGAACCTCCAAAGAATAAAGACAGTTCTCCCTCATGATGGGTTTGCAGACACCTTTCTGGCACCCTTTGTCTGGTTCCGTAAGAATTCTTTGAAAGAAAGTAAGAAGATCATGCAAGCAATCAGAGCAATAGAAGGGAAACCGCTCCTTACCTCTTCTTCTTCAAGCAGAATGAGTCGAACGACTACAATGTGGATCGCATTGCCAATACTTGGATTATGGAACAACCCAGTGACCTAGAAAAGAAAAGAAACCCCATTAGCTCCAAATGAATAGCTGAGAATATCAATAGAGAAAAAACAAAACTAGTTGTCCTTGCCTCACTTCTGACTTCCAGTGACCCCGAGTTATGGACTAAAACTACTCTATTGGCCTTCCTTTATTTCTCTCCCATTTTTTTATTGTGATTGTAATAAAAGTTTACAGAAAAGTTGGATTTTCATACAACATGGTTGCACACTCTTCTCCCTACCCCCTTAGTTCAGTTTTTTTAAAAAAATGTATTCATTCATTGTTGCATAATTTCCTTTCTGCCCTCCAAATCCCTCCCCCAGTTCACTTGGCTATACACCTCTTATTCTGGACTGTTGTCATCCAAATAATGCTTACTCATATATTTCTTTTAAATAGTTCTTTCCCTCAGTTGTTTCAATGCAGTGTTTATTATTTACCCTGTCCTTTCATAATTACTGCTCAACTCCTATGTCAGTCCTGTTTTATCACAGTGGTTTTATACAGTATTTGTACTTTTGTGTCTGAGATATTTCACTCAGCATAATGTCCTCCAGGGTCACTCATGTTGTGTAATATTTTCTTGACTCTGAATCTTGTGGAAGCAGATCACCAGGCCTTTGTTTGGCTGAGCCTCTGAATGAGTTTAGACCATTATTAACCTTTCCATTTGAAGTGTTGCCAAACCATTTGCACTACTCAGGGACATAGGTAACTCGTCCTCATTGCCCTTGACTCTGAACTGACACAAATCTGACCATCCAGTGGTTTTCCAAGTCTGTAAATTTCCTGGGAGGAGATTGCCCATCTTTTCCCCTTGAAACTACCAGTGGATTTGAGCCCTCAGAGTGGTGTGGTTTTGGGGTTAGCAGCACAGCTCACTAAGGACTGTGCTACCAGCATGACTCTCTGATGGTTTGATTCTACTATCTACTCTGCTGGAGAAAGACAGACAATCTCCTCTCCTTTGGTTTACAAGGACTTAGTTAAGGATGCATGTATTCATTAAAAATAAAGGTGCATTTATAGGTCAAGAGTTGGTGGTGGTATGTAAAGATGAATGTGGTATGTCCAGAGCCTGATGTATATGACAACAACTGGCACAGCAATCTAGTCCTCAGTTGCTAATGGGAAGGTTGGCAGTTCAAATCCAACCAGTAGCTTTGTGAAAAGATCTGGTAATCTGCTTCTAGAAAGGTTACAGCCTAGAAAACTCAAATGGGGCAGTTCTGTTTTGTCACTTGGTGTTGCTATAACTTGAAAATCAACTTGATGACATCTAACAACCAGGAGAGCCACTGGGAGGTGAATTGCCACAGTTGATTTTGGAGTAAACTACTCTTCTACAATAAAGCTCTACCAGGGATGTGGACTGGCTGTGTGCTCGACAGGGTGGCGCCTTCTTTTACATCCTTTCATTATCAGAAAGTTGAGCAGGATAACCTTAGCAAATGGGCTAACTGAGCTTTAACAAAATATCCTAAATGATGTTCATTCCCTCTGTGATTTGTATTCATTTTCCAGAAGTCAATTTATCTGCGGCCATAAATTCTTCCTAATGGGAAATAATGAGACATCTGTAAAATTAAATCATCCCAGCTGAAAGGAAACAAAAAATGAGCTTTTCTCAGCCAAAAGGAAGAAAGGAGAGAAGGTGGCCTGAGCTGATATGTAATTAGCAGTCAACCGCAGCAAAAGGGAGTCATTCTCCGTACAGAATATCTGGTCATTTGCACGAGGGTTACCATCAACTCTACAGTTCATTTTCTGGTTCCTCAGAGAAATGAAGAGCCCCTTTACAACTCCCTTCCAGAATAATGTTGTGTGCAACGTTATATCTTCATTCCTTTGGGATAGCTAGAATCCTAAGACTTCTAGTTACCCCTGGACTCATGCCTAGCTCACTGGCAGCCTGGTTTTGGAAATTCCTTACAACACACTCCCCCTTCCTATTAATTTCTATTATAAATCATAAAAGCACCAAAAAGCACAGTAGTCTTGCTCTTTAAATTTAAATTGTCCTTATTTTTAATATCCAATTCGCTTAAGAAAATGTACTTCTCTTTGTCCATATGGAAAAACAACAATAAAACAACAGCACTTGCTACCAGTTCAAATCTGAGTTCTGGGAGCCCCTCTCATGTCAGAGCAAAATGGGTTCACTGGGTTTTCAGTGGCTGTGATCTTTTAGGAGTAGGTTACCTGCCCTTTCTTCCAAGGTACACAGGGTTAGACTTCCACTTTCAACCATTTGGGTAGTAGCCTTATACAGTATGCTTTTGGCACCATCTGGGGATTCTTAGAGAATATCAAAAGTCAAGCCCACCATTGTTCAGTCAATTCTGACTCGTGGAGAACCAATGTGGCACAACATAAGACCTCTCCGTAAGATTTTCCTTGTCTATAATCTTTACAGAAGCTGATTCAAAAACTCAAACTTGGAGCAGAGAGTTGGGAGGACCCCTCACCTGTTGACTTGACTAGGCCCCATGTAGGTTGGGGCTGGGGCCGAGTGAGGAAACCAACAGGTCTGGAACATAGGGAGAAGTGTGAGCTCCTGAGCTTGTAGCTGATGCACCCTTAAACCTAGCCATCGACAGCTGGGGAGGAGGTGACCAGAACCCAACCAGGTGAAGAGCAGCTGGTAATGCTGTGAGCTAGGGTCGACTGCTGCACCCTGATGGATCAGTCAGGACTGGACTTTGCTTGTGGATGCAGATGCTCAAAGTTTTCAAGTTGAACAGAGGATCCTTCAGCAAAAGGGAAGTGCCTGTTTCCTTAGAGTACTGCTTTGATAGGGAGGAACAAATCTGAAATGTGCTATCTAAAAGGGTATAAGGTTATTTAAATGGCATGAGGCATGAAATAAAAAAAAAAAAAACAAACCCAAACCAAAAAACCAAAAAAACAATAAAATGGAAAGAAATATAATACAATGGTTTATAAGGAACACAATATACATCTACAAAGTATATGAATGATAAAAGTATAAATAATAACAAAAGTTATGTATTTTTCTTCTTTATTGTAATTTTAATGAAAGTTTATAGAAACTTTGACTTTCCATTCATTCATTGTTGCACAAAACCCCTCAAACTCTAGAGTATACTCGAGGTGGGTGTGGGGAGTGAGGGGGATCATATACCAATGAGGAGTTTTTCTTTTGCTTTTCAAGGAGAAGAGCTAACTGGGGGTGGGCGGGGAGAAAAGTGCAACAATGAATGAATGGAAATCCAAAATCTCTGTAAATGTTCATTGAAACAAAACACCCTCAAACTCATTGAATCAGAATCAGAAAGGAGAATGCCTTAAGAACTCAAAACTGAACCAGTCACTGCTGTGGTTTTGCCTGCTGGCCTCTGTTGTTGTTGTTAGGTGCCATCAAGTTGACTATGACTCATCACGACCCTTTGAACAACACATCGGAATCTTGCCCCATCCTGAGCCATCCTCATCATCTCTGATACTCGCGCCCATTGTTACAGTCACTGTGTCAATCAATCCATCTTGTTGAGGGTTTTCCTTTCCTTCGCTGGCCCTCCATCTTTCCAAGCATATCTTTTTCCAAGGACTGGCTTCCTCTAACAAGACACTTGAAATATGTTGGTTCTAGAGGGCATGAAATGTTCCTCCATCAGCAGGAACACCTTTGCTTGGAATGTTGTTGTTGTTGTTATGTGCCGTTGAGTAGCTTGCAACTCATAGCCACCCTATGTACAAGAGCCCTAAACACCGTTCTATCCTGTGCCAGCCTCTCTGTTTCCGACACACTCATCCTACCACTCCACTCACAGAATCCATCCATTTCCTCTCCTGTATTCCTCTCCTGCACCGTCCCTCCACTCTCCCAAGCATGATATCCCTCTCTGAGGACCAGTCCCTCCTTGCAACATTCCCAAAGTATGTCAGACGAAGCTTCAGAATCCTTGACTCCAAGAAGCATTCCGGCTTCACCTTCTCTAGGACAAACCTGTTTGTTTTCCTAGCAGTCCATGGTATATTCAACACTCTTCTCCAGCACCACAACTCAAAGGCATCAATTCTCTTTCTATCAACCCTATTCACTGTCCAACTCTCCGATGCATAGCATGTAATTGCAAAGACTATAGCCCAGATCAGGAGCACCTTAGTTGACATTGTTGCTCTTCAGTACTCTTAAGAGGTCCCTGACAGCCGACTTTCCCAATGCAATTTCTTCTCCTGATTTCCTGGCTGCTGTTACCAAGAGTGTTGACTGTGGAATCAAGTAAACTAAAATTGTTAACTATCTCAATCTCTTCATCATCGATACTGATGCTGCCAATTGGCCCAGTGATGAGAATCTTTGTTTTCTTGATGCTGAGATTCAATCCATATTGAAGGCTGCAGTCCTTGACCTTCTGCAGCAAGTGCTTCAGGACCTCCTCAGTTTCAGCAAGCAGGGTTGTGTCATCTGCATAATGCAGGTTGTTGATGATTCTTCCACCAATCCTGATATCACATTCCTCCTTGTACAGCCCAGCATCTCAGATGATTTGTTCTGCATACAGATTGAAATGGTGTGGAGACAGAATACATCCCTGATGGACCCCCTTCTTGATTTTAAACCATGTAGTGTCTCCTTGCTCTGTTCTGATGACTGCCTCTTGGTCCAAGTATAGGTTTCGCGTAAGCACAATCAAATATTGTGGTATTCCCATTCTTCTCAGAGTCAGCCACAGCTTGTTGTGATCCACACAGTCAAAAGCCTTTGCTTAGTCAATGAAGCACAGATAGATATTCTTCTGGTATTGTCTGCTTTCTGCCAAGATCCATCTAACATTAGCTATAATAGCCCTAGTACCACGACCTCTTCTAAATCCAGCCTGCACATCTAGCAGTTCTCTGTTGACATATTGTTTGGAATTTCAAGGTGAAATGTGTGCCAGATTTCCTAGAAAAGGACCATCGACACAACAAGTCTTCTGATTTTTTTTCTCTTTTTCTCTTTGGAGATCGATTTTCATTGGAGTCTCTATTCTCCTCT